ACCGAGAAACTTATGTGCACCCTTGACTATAGTGTTTCCAATATGAGATCACTATTTATATCATTTATTTAATCCAGCCATTCCTGATTTACTGCATGTCTTTTTTCACAAAATCTTTTCTATTAGGCCTGATTTCAAACAGAACAGTTTGTGCTTCCAGTCATAAAACTGCAGCCACTGGAAAAGAAAGAGTTAAGAGTGATGGAAGCCAATGATACATTATAGTGGTTTCAGAAATACATTGATACATTGACACTGCGCTTATGAGACGTGCAAGCAAAGCCGAAGCAGTAGAGCAGGGCTGTCAAACTCAGTTCCTGGAGCCCTGCAGAGTTTAGTCCCAATCCTGCTCCAACACACACACACACACACCATGTAGTTTCCAAATGAGCCTGAAGGACTTGATTAGCTGGATCAGGTGTGTTTAATCAGGGTTGAAGCTAAACTCTAAACTCTCAAGGAACTGAGTTTTGTGTGGGAGAGTTTTACAAAACTGCAAACAAAAAAATGTGATTATGTGTAAAGGCCCTGATATACTGATGGGGAAGTAGTTCTGCGTTCTTGGTTTAGAGGTAAAGAGAAGTTGGATATAAGCAAGCAGTGGTTTACTGTTAGCTGCTGAGAGCGGCGTTTAGATGAGTGTGGAAATATACTTCATACAGCGGTGAGAAAACAGCAGTTAAGAAAGCATCTGATCATAGCGATGTGGATGTTTGCACCAGATCTGCAATCTGCACTCCAGTAAAGTCACATCAGGTTTATTTCTATAACACTTCATGCAGTACACTGCTTTAAAGCAAGGAGCTGAACTGTATTAAACATGAAAAAACAGCATCAGTTAGAACATCATCTTGGCTTTCTGCTATAAAGCAGCTCTATATGAATGTGTATGTACAGTATAACTCAATATTTTAATGAATTGCAAAAGCTGAATAATCAAGCAAAGCCTACTGGTTAATCGTGTAATAATGGACGATTAGTTGATGAATCATTCTAATAATCATTATATTAATCGGTTTGTTGCAGCCCTAGTCAGAGATCCAGTCAGATGTGGGACAGATTTGTTGAAATGCGTCATGTCTTCGTGTCTGCAGCTGTCGAACATGCTCCCGGCTCTGATGGGTCCGCTTCTGCTGGGCTCACACGCCTCCACCACCAGCCTGTGGTTCACCATCGCTCTGCTGGTCACTACGGTCTCTCACTGCGGCTACCACCTGCCCCTGCTGCCCTCACCTGAGTTCCACGACTACCACCATCTCAAGTACGTGCAGGCCGCAATGTCAAGAGTTTCAAGAAAAACGGTTGAAGTAAAGTGAGTGTTTCAGAGTCCTGGGACTGTGATGCATTCCGAAAGAATACTTCGTTTTTTTTTACACGCATGCTAGCGCAGGTGCAGGCGTATCCGCATAGCCTTTCAAAATACACTCCATCTGATGTAATTGTGTACACACGCACACTCACTCTCTCACTCACTCACACTCAC